GAATGTTTTTCTGATTTCTTTTTTGATAATTCATTATTAGTGTACAGAAACACAACTGATTTTGCATATTGATTTTGTATCCTCCTGTTTTACTGAATTTGTTTACTGGCTTGAATAGGTTTTTTTTAAAAGGAAAATCCTCTCATCTGCAAACAAAGACAATTTAACTTCTTTCTTTCCAATTTGGGTGCCTTTTATTTCTTTTTTTCTTACTTAATTGCTTTAGTGAGGACATCTAGTACTCTGTAGAATGAAAGTGAGAGAAGATGCTCCTCTCTTGTTCCTGATCTTGTCCCTGATCTTGGCTTTTCACCATTGAGTATGGTGGACTTGTCATATATGGCAAGCATATGTGGCTTATATGTGTTGAAGTATATTACATGTTAATGTATTTTCCTTCTATACCTAATTTGTAGCGCTTTTATCCTGAAGAGATGATTAATTTTGTCAAATGCTTTTTCTGCATCTTTTGAGATGACCAGATGATTTTTATCCTTCATTCTGTTAATGCAGAATGTTCATCAATTTGAACCATTGTTGCTTCCCAAGGGGAAAAATCCTACTTAATCAGCCTAGGAGTTTTTTTCATGTGCTACTGAATTTGTTTTGTTAGCATTTTGTTTAGCATTTTTGTGTCAATGTTCATCAGAAATACTAACCTGTAATTTTCTTTTTGGTAGTGTCCTTATCAGTCTTTGGTTTTGAGGGCTATTCTAGCCTTGTAAAAATGAGTTTGGAAGTAGATTTTTTTCTCTTTGATTATTCTGGCAGAGTTTGAGAAGGAATGGCATTAATTCTTCTTTAAATGATGAGTGATACTTAGGATTGGCTCTTTGACATATTAAAATCCTAGCAATTCTAAGTTGGTTAAGCCACATTGTTTAGAAGCTTTGTTATAATGTCACTGAAAACCACCATGATGGAGAAGTGATATTCTTTTAAAAATGTGGCTAACTGGTAACTTTATGAATTCCCACATGGAAAACTTCAGATAATAATAGGAAAAACAAATACTTTTAATATTAAAATTTACTTAATTAACGCTTAATTGGTACATTAATCTCTGACAACACTTAAGGATATCTTTTAGTGGAAAGAGAGTAAGTTAACGTACCAGCATTTACTTGGTAGCTCTTTGATCTTTGTGAGTTCATTTGACCTTCTTTGGACTTCATTTTGTTCATCTTTAAAATGAGAACATGCTATTAATGATATGTATAACAGTAAACAACAAAATATATATGTGTATGGTTTTTTTTTTTACTTTCTTGCTATTATGGAAATGTTTCAGACTAATAGGATTTATTCAGACACAGGATTTATTTTAATTGAGGATATTTCAAGTTAGGAAAAGGTGGAATCATAAGCTGATAGATTTCTATCAATGAAATATTACTTTCAGAAATGCAAGGTTTGCAAATAATTTGATTCATTTCAGGAAATCTGTATTTCTCAACCTATAACTGGAAGTTTTTGTTCTGTTTGTTCCTAACCCCATCCTTTGCACCATACTATATTCTATGAAGATTTCATGACTAAATTTGGTAATGTGGCTGCCTTACTTGAAGATTCACAAAACTTTAATTCTGAGAAGAATTAAAGTTAGAAGCCTGAAACTAGTATTTCTTAGACTTACTTGACTATGGAAACCCCTTTTAAGGAAAACTCTATTTGACGCTCATTAGGTTGAATGACCCATACTGCCTTAAGTTCATGTATTCTAGAGGTAGACTTCCCTGTTCAAATCTCTGTTGTATAACATTGGGATAATTACTTAACTTCCTAAGCCTCAGTATTTTCATTTGTAAAAAGGAGCTGATGATATTTGTTTAGAATTATTAAATGGGATAATAAACATATTTAGTGCATGATGTTAAATGGTGTGTATAAATGATGACGTAACACATTTAAATACCACATAACTCTGATTTTCGTAGACAGAGAGACTGGAAGCACTTGAGGCCAGTGAAGGCCACTGGCCATTATTCTCCAATGAAAAAGATAGTCAGGCCTCTTTGGGATGAGTTTCTCCTTACTCATGGACCCTGATTCTTCCCAGAGCAGCCTTATTCTCTCCTGTTCTTAGCATCTGAGCTCAGGGGTCCAGGGTGACGGGTATAGGGAAGCAGTAGGGTCATGGGCAACAGGGCATTGCCAGCTTCTTTTTAAATTGGGCCACTGCATAGAAAGTCCATGCCCAGTGCTGCCTCCTCTTCTACTTCTAAAACATGAGTTTGAAATCCAGATAATGTTAAACCTCCTGATTTTCAAGTGTAAGCAATCATACATATGAAAATGCAATGGCTATGCCTGTCACAGAGCCTTAGAACAGACAGCTCCCAACTTACTGTGGTTTGCCCTATGATCTTTGGACATTGTGAAGATGCTTTATATTCAGTCAGTCAAAATCCTTGGGTTAGGGTGGCAGAACATGCCTATGATCCCAGCACTTGAGAGGCTGAGGCAGGAGGATCATGAGTTTGAGGCCAGCCCAGGCTACATAGTGAGTTCAAGATTGACCTGGGCTATATAGCAAGACCCTGTTTAAAACAACAGATTCAAGGCTGGGTGCAGTGTCTCAAGCCTGTAATACTAGCTTCTTGGGAAGTGGAGATGAGGAGGATCACAGTTCAAGGCCAGCCCAAACAAAAGTTCATGAGACCCCATCTCAATCAATAGCTGGGTATGCTAGTGTGTGCCTGTCATCCCAGACATACAGGGAACCTATATAAAAAAATAATGAGTGCAAAAAGAGCTGATGACAAGGCTTAGTGGTAGAATACCTACCTAGCAAGTGCAAGGCCCCAAGTTCAGCCCCTAGTACCACCAAAACACACACACAAAACACACTTGTAACACACACACATATATCCTCCCAGAGCCTCATACACTAGGCCAGTGCTCTGCCACTGGGCTGTATATCCAGCTGTGGAATTTTTAATTTGGAACTGTTCCCAGACTAACAGTATTCAGTCAGATCCTCTCCTTCTCTGCTGGACAGCGGCAGTGGGCCACATGATCATGAGGGGAAACAACCAACACTCTACAGTGGACAGTATTGCCAGATTCTTTTGGATCCCGTGTTGCATTTTGAATCCTTTCATGTCTATAAAATGCCCATTTGTGTGTGTAAGTGAGATAGTCACCATTTTATTTACTAGGATTTGTGTTGAACGTCTTTATTATAGGTTGTTGTAAATGTTCTGAGCATGTGTAAGCTAGGTGAGGCTAAGCTATGATGCTCCATAGGTTGGTGTGTTCAGTGCATTATTGACTTACAATACTCTCAGAATGTAATGGGGCACAGGAACATAGTCCCATTGTAGTGTGAGGAACTCCTCAAGTGAGGGTGTGGTAAAGAGCCCAAGAACTTGGACCAGCTTGCCTAGTGCCCACTCCAGCTCCACTGCTGCTTTATCATAACCCCAAAACTTTCTCAGCCTTTATGCCTCTGTGTCTATGTAATGAGGGGTTGGCATGAGGCTTAGTGGAAAGCACTAGGGTAGCACTTACCACAAGGTAAGAGCTCCATCTTTAGTTTGGGGGTTAGTATTTGTATGGCCTTGTAAAACGTGCTTAGCAGAGGACAGCTCAGAAAACTACTTTGTCTGTGGCAGTAATCTTTCTACAGCAATAGAAGAATTGTGTTTTACTTTGGAAGCAGCAAAAACCCTGTAGCTTTGCTCAGCAGTGTCATGTTTTTTGGTGTCTGCTCAATTTGTAGGCTGACTGCGGTCACCTCTGCAGATGCGCTGGACTACAGCAGTCCTGCAGTGACTGCCTAAGTGTTAGATCAGTGAGGCATGCTGGGACCAACCATAGCTGAAAACACCAGTGGGCTGCTGTCCCAGTCTGGATGCTGATATCGGACATACATTATCAGAAAAATGTTCAGTGAAAATGGATTATGAATATATATCCTCTTGGCAAATCATTTCAAAATCAATATTTTTCTCCATTTTATGGATAAATATGTATCAAATAGCCTTCTGTACATAGATGCAGAACACACTTGAAAAATTTGAATATTCCATACATATAAATAAGCTGGTGAATCTTAGCAATTAAAAACATAACTCTGATGAAAGCAGACAGGTTCACATTTCAGCCCCCACCTTAGATAGCTGTGAGACTTTGGACAAGTTACTTAACTCCTCCAAGCTGTGGTTTCTCTATAAACTGAGAAACCAGTAGTACTTATCTCCTAAACTTGTTTTTTAAGATTATATGTCAAAATGTATGTAAGCTCCTCACCTCAGTACCTGGAACATCATAAGGCTCAGTATATGTTAAGTAATGCATTTAAGGTTGATAGTACAGTTGTATCTCAGGGCAGGCTGATGTGATGGTAAAGAATGATGCGTGCGTAATCAGCAGCCCTTTGAACAGTGATGAGCCTATTGCATTAGCCTTGAACAGTGGTTCCTAATGCAGCAGGGTTCCCCAAGCAGCTTTCAGAAGAGATGGTGCCAGATGCTCTCCCTAAAAATGGAGACTCAGTTGGTTAGGGTCCTGGGCACCCAGACAGCCCAGTTGAGAACTCATAAGCCCCAACTCATGCTCCACATTCATGGAATCATATTCACAGTCTGCACTTTGGTGTCATCTCGCATAGAGAGGTGCCATTTGTGGGGAGTGGGCAGGCCAAGGGTGTGAGTACTCATTTAAGATCCATCCCCACCGCTGAGAAAAATATTCCCTGCATGTAGTCCACTGATAGGAGATGGGATCATTACACTATACACATACTTCTCTGAACCCAAAATCCCATGTATATAGTACCCATACCATTAGATTTTATATCATTCAGCAGACATAGAGCTATGTAAATTGTACTGACCTGGTCAACATTTTGATTTTTTGAAGGGGAAAAAGATTTTTCTTCACTTTTGCATATGGCCTATTGTGTTTTATGTTATGAGCATTTCTAGAAGACCTTTCTCTTTCACTGAATTTTAAGCTCCTATTGTATATATCTTAAATTTGTTGACGACTAACCTATGACCTTGTACATTATAAGCAAAGATCGGATTTCTTGGGGAATTGAATAAATCATGAGAAATTACTAATCAGTCATCAAGATCACTTTTGAGGATGTATTCTAATGTCATTAAATTGTCCATATCAACCACATATTAAAAATTATAGATCTAGGAAAACAAGTACTAAGGCAACAATACACTTGATAATCAGCCCAGACTTCTGTTCACTGAAAATCTGGGAATGGATGAGGGGACTTGTTGATGTTAATGACATTGAAGCTTAAATAAGAAAGCCCCACCCTCCTTCCTTTTTTGCAGTCATAAATTAATTTCCTAGAACTTGAGGAACAGAATACAATACTTAAATGAAGTCTGGATATCCGAAAGTCACACTTAAGAGACCCAAGGCCAAGCAGCAGAGGAAGGAGAGAACACAAGAGACTGAGGGATCCTGGACTAAGTGGTCAGTTTGTTGTATTTGACAGTTAATTGAATCTGACAGTAAATCTTAGATTATATCAACAAGTCCAATTAACTTCTCTGGAAGGCCACAGAAACACAAGATGTGACTTCTCTCTCAGGCTAGGCAATCCAGGTTCCCAGTAGCCATGTCTACTCAGATGTATTCAGCATACTAAACATAGCTCATCTGTGCCACAGATGAAGCTTGAAGGAGCCTTAGATATTATCTTTAGATTTGGTTTTTAGAATATCTTTTCTGGATCCCCTTTTTTAAAAAGCCCTGAGGACCTTTTCTTCTGGCCCACTCATGCCATGACATAAACTTCAGATTCACATACCCCCTCCTTTTACCAGTGTCCCAACTGGTCATGTTTCTAATGAATTCCTGTAATAGTGTTTGTGCTTTGTTTCTAAAATTAACTGTGGTCTAAATTAATTATTTAAATTAATTTAGCCTATATTTACCTCCCCTAGCAGTTTGTACTTTTCTTGTGAAAAGAATTATTTTCCTAATCTTGGGTGCCTTTTATGGGTTTTTTGTTGTTGTTGTTGTTGTTTTTTTGCACATAGTAGGTAATAAATATTTGTTGAATGAATGAAGAAAAAAGAAAACACAAGATGAAGCCAAAGTATCTGCAGACAACTCATTTTTTTGTAGACATAGTATATTTTTCTATCCCTGCTCAACCCTTTCAGAATGTGGCATATTTGCTTCTGTTGGCTCAAATCCTTAAGAAATCTTACATCTACTATCACTTGCAATATTTTAAATCCAGCGAGTCGGGCCCATTAGCGCATGCCTGTTATTCCAGCACTCAGGAGGTAGAAAGATGAGGATTATGATTTCATGGCCAGCCTGGGCTACATACCCTGCCTTAAAATTAATTAATTAACTAATCTATTGAAAACAATAGAGAAATCTTACATTGGAAGATTCACCAACATGTCAACCCTAAAAGTAGACTGAGTCCCTGTACCAGACTCTTTATTAGCTGTATTTAGTGCCTTTGCTTTAGAGCTAAGAGGGCATTCACCAGTTACCTGAAGGTAGATATATCTATGTGTCTGTCTGTCTATCTACTATCTATCTATCTATCTTTTTTTTTCTTACTTAAATAGTGTCTCACTGTGTAGCCGAGACTGGCCTGGAACTTGTGATCCATGTAGGCCTCCCAAGTGCTGGAATTCATAGGCACACGCCACCATGTCTGGCTCTGCCATTTGCCTTCAGCAGCCAATGAGAATGTGGAGGCAGAGCACACCCTGCCACTGATGCTGACATATCCTGCTTATGTCTTCCCTCCCTTTCCCTTAGGAAGGAAATAGTTTATATTCAAAAGAGTCAGTATTCCTGGTCAGTCACAGCTGGCCCCCAAGTGGTCAAGGCCCAGAAAGGAGAGCATGGCAGGTACATGGGCTTCTTAAAGGCAGCAACTGACATTCAGAGGACATCCGGCACACTGACCAACGCAGCTGCTACTGGAGTCCTGTTTAGAGCCAACTCTTTATGCCACCAGCAGCTCTTCCTCACCTTCTTCGTCAGCTCTCAAATCTTCCTCCTGGCCTTTCTCCGCCTTCTGTCTGAGCTTTCTGTCTCATCTCCTTGTCACACTCTAAGAAAAGGTGAGCCAACCACAGCTTTCCTGAGCACTGACACAGTCAGTATCAGAGCAGTGACACAGTCCTGGTTTATTAGCAACACACAGACACATGAGCAGGGTAGACAGCATACACAGAAGCCACCTGACAGTGAGCAAGTAACAAGTTTATCAACTCATGGGAAGTTCAGAGCTCTTCATCTCACTCCTCTGCTGTTGCTTTGGAAGGTCTACCACCATGGCATCTCCATGCAGGAACTGCATCTCTCTGCCCAGATACACAGTTACCTTTGTTAACTCAGGGACTGGGTGGTAACAGGTAAGAAAGTAGACACAGCAAAGAAAAGCTAGAGAAAATACTGAGGATTCAGTTCTCAAAGTGAAATGAGGAGGTGGTTTTCTTCCTTTCTACTCACCATTTTCAACCTCCCTCTCCCAAAAAAGAAATTGAGAAAGAAATCCATCTTAGAAAACTCTGCCAAGAAGAAATTATATCTTATCTGCCTTGTTAAATCCAGGTTCTTAGGAGCAAAGGTTCTCTCTGTATTACCTCTCAGAGTTGATGACAGCAAGGCATTGAAAACTGTTTTCAATCCTCAGGTTATTTGAGGAGGAAGCTATTAAACAATAGAGAAAACATTTGAGTCCATCTTATGCATGCTCAAGCTAAATTTCTTATGACATTGTAGGGCAACCAAGGGGCAGTAGGACCAGGAGACAGTGGAAAGGTCCTGGGGTGTTCAGAGTATAGGGATACACATTCTCTCAGTACTGTCAGTCAGACAGTGTTAACTGTGGCCCCATACTGTAGCAGTTGGCTATACTCCCAGCAGCTAAACTTGTGGCTAAGGACCTGTGGAAGGGAGTCAGTACCATGTGGCAGGCATAAGTGACTTTCCCCTCCTGCCTGTTCCCCACCTTGATGGAGAGTCTGTTACAACACTGTGTTTTATCTGAGAAAGAAGTAGAAAGAAGTTTGAAGGCTCACAGGTTCATGTTTTGTCTTTTGTAGGGATAGGGGTACTCTAGTGTTGAGTACAGTACCTGGAGAGTGTTTATTGAGTACTATAAGAAAAGGAGATGGACTGGGGGCATGGCTCAAGTGGTAGAACACCGCCTAACAAGTGCTGGACCCTGAGTCCAATCTGCAATGCAGAAAGGAAAAGGAAGGGAAAAGTGATGGAAGGAAAAGGAAAGAAGAAAAGGACACAGATTGGTACTTTGAAGTTTCCCTAAATCACTAGAGGATTTCTTGGAAGCAATGTGGCCATTAGCTGTACAACTTATCAGCACCGTTTTCCCTTCACTTCTTTCTTTAGAGTTATATTGTGAATTGGGTTTTGTAGTTCTTACTTCAATAGTTGATTAGAGTCTGCATCGTAACAGGGATAGAGACCACAGACTCTTCTAGGTCACTCTCTTTCTCTCTTCCTTTTTAGGTGTGCCAGTCAGAGTTCATGCAGAAGACAGAAACCAGATCAGCATTTATGACATTTTAGTGTGAAGAATTGAATCTAAAGAAATGTCAGCCTTTGAGGGAGGGAGCTGAGAAGTCAAAAGTAGAACAGGGAAAGGAATCACAGGGGCAAAAACAGGAAGCCACTCCCCTCCAGGCCTGAGGGAATGAAGGAAGAGGCTGGAATTAAGGCATATCAGCAACTGGATGGAGGGGTCCCTAGAAGCAGAGGCCCGGACCTCTGGAGGAAGAAGAGTGGGTATCTGTGCTCTGAGGAGGGACTTCAGAAGGGGTGCCAGTCACTGGCTGTGTTGGTATCTTTGGGAGGGGTATAGTGTTCTATAGCTACTGGGAAAGTGCAGTGCGATTCAACCATTGCTACTGGTCACACCAGTGTTGCTAATGGAAGGCAGGGTGCTTTAGGAACCTTGAAAGGAACAGGCAACCAGCAGGGATGAGTGGGCCCTTCTTTCTCCTCCAGCTTGCAACCTCCCTCTAGAGACAATTGACAGAGCTCATTGGAGCCTCAGAGTAAACCTCAAGGCTCTTGTCCCTCACTTTGCTGAGCCCAGAGCTTTCTAATCTGCTTCTTCCTCTGCAGCTTGATGTTTGACCCTTGAGCTCTCCAGAACAAGTCTAAAAGACCCTGGGCATTTGCAAGTTTCCAATTCATAATCCCTTCATCCCTTCCTCCAGAAGAGATCTATCCCTTAATCTTCTGTTATATGTACTTAGGAGGGAAATGTGTCCCAGCTCTACTTCTACTTGTGTGCTCTTTCCAATAGGCTTTCACTATTGTCAGCACTTCTCAGATGACCCGTTTCCACTTCCCCACTCACAATGCCAGCTTTCTTAGAACCACAGCCACATCAAGGCTGGTGAAGCTAGGAGGCTAGAAGAGAGCCTTAGGCTTTTTAATTCAATCCACAGAAGTGGTTATTTCCATTGTATGCTGGTCACCCTGCTCAACAGAAAGAGGGATAAAATGTAGCCTTGGTACTTGAAACATGCAAGCAAATATGTAAACTTGCTATACATTTCAGGCCATAATGATAAGTGGCACTACACAAGGAGGTGGGAGAAGCAGCTAGCTCTGAATTCAGTAGTGGTTAGGCCACAGAAGAGCGAGAAAAAGAATAGTAAATGCGTATGTGTTTACTGTATGTTTTACACACACTAACACCTTTACTCCTCATAGCAACCTTATAAGAGGTGCCTGGAATAACCCCCCTTTTGGAGATGCGGAACTGAGCATATAGGGAACTGCTCAAGGTCACAAACTCTAGCAAGTTGTAATAGCTAAGTAACCTCCCTGTGGGCCTGGTTTGAAGATGAAATGAAGTAAGTGTGCCTGGCATAGGGCAAGCACTAAATGGTGACCAGCATTGGGCTGTTAATCTAATACATTTTTAAAAGCTTACACAATGAAGAGTTATCTTGTATTTTCCAATTTATAAGAGTTTTTAATAGATTGTCTCCAATTTACAATGGTTTGGCTTATGACCATTTTGACTTTCTTCTGATGGTGTAAAAGTGGTAGCATTCAGTAGAAACGCTGCTTTGAATTTGGAATGTGCATCTCTTCCTAAGCTAGGTATACATGGTCCAGTCCTCTTAGTGATGCTTGACAGTGCAGCCAGCCGCAACTCCCCAGTCAACCCCGCCATCACGAGGGAAAGCCACCACTGCTCCATGCGCACTATGCCACTGAGCTTGGATGCTCCATGGGTCCTGCATGTTAAATGCGTTTTCCACTTCTGAAAATTTCAATTTACACTGTTGTGTCAGGATATAAACTCATCAGAAATAGAGGAGCATCTGTATATATCCCACTTAACTGTTCTCATAATTCGATGAGTTTAGCATATTATTCTGATTTTATGGAGGTGTTTACTATTTCTACAGGATTGAGGGGTCCTAAGAGACAGGACCCCTGCAGTGGGTTCATCGTATTCAGAGAGGCCTCCAGGAAGGGAGGGGCGCTTTGGTGATTTATGGATGCAGGAGACTGAGGAATCACATGCTGCGCTCAGAGTCCCCTTTCCTCTCACTCCTTACCCTGCACCCTGGAGCACAGTGGCTTCCGCACTTCCCTTTCCCCATCCGCAAAATCTGGATAGCACCATCTGCCTTTCTGTGCTCCAACGATGAGGAATGAAAGTTGAAAAGCCTTTTCATATATGCAGGTAGGCAGTTTATTAGGCAGGTTTTGGAAAGTAGAAAAAAATCTGAAAGTATAACTTTGTAGTTGGTCCTGTGTACAGAAATGCTAATACTTGTTTTGCAGAAGGAAGCTTAATCATCAGTGGCCTGCTATATTACCTGTTGGTTGATGATCAGGCTTACCTCGGTACTGCTGACAACGGTTTATACAATGAAGCTCTAAAAAGCTCTTTTTCTGGCTTGAAATAGGAATAGTTAAAATTCTTAACTGGAAAGAAGCCAAGGGCCATTGGAGAGGCAAGAATTGTGATTTGAGAAGAGGTGAGACCTGGGCAGTTTTTTATTTCTAAATGAAAAGATGGAATTAAAGAAAGAGATGTTAGACATTTAGATATAATAAAACCAAGCAATTGATAGCACATACTATCTTAGAAGTAAAAGTGGTTTCTAAGTTAATTTTGATAAGAACATAATCACATGGGCTGTAAACAAACCAGAAGTGCTTGCATATTAAGATAATTAGTCAAAGAGCTAAACGAATCATTTGAAAAGGAAATGTCATGGAAGGTACCATAGAGATAAATCTTAGATTTGGTCTTATTTACATAATTGTTAAGTAGGCTGAATAGATCACTTCTGGAAACAGTAGTAAAAAACAAGTCATTTCTTATGATCCTGTGATAGACTAAGTGTTTGTGTTCCCACTGAATTGTTGAAATCCCAAGTTGGTTAGAAGATGGGGTCTTTGGGGGGTGATTATGTCCTAGGGGTGGAAACCTCAGGAATGTAAGTGGAGCCCTACTTTATAAGGAGAGAAGAAATAAGGGAGCTTGCACAAGTAGACCTACAGTTTGTTCTCTCTCTCTCTCTCTCTCTCTCTCTCTCCCCCCCCCTTTTCCCTCTCCCTCCGCCCATCTTCATGTGAGGAGTCAGAAGGCTCTGAGTATCTGACCATGCTGGCATCCAGAATTGTAACAAGAAAGTGTTTTTTGTTTAGGCTGTTGTAACAGCCCAAACTCAGAGCCCTTAATTTTAAGCAAGAGGACCTACAACATAGTTAACAGCACAGTCTGGCCTGAGAAGATCCCATCTACTATTAGATCTTGGCCCTGCTACTTACTGGCTGTTTGGCCACTTTTCTTAGTAACACAGGGCGAATAGCAGTAGTGGCTTCCCTTTGGCAAGCTTACAGTTCATAACTGTATCATGGATAACGATCAATCTTACATTTATTGAACTGCCCAAATCAATGTTTTAGGCAGAAACTACTTCATGTGTGCTCATAAATTTTACTTTGCATCATCTTTACCACAGGTACTAAGCAGATACTGTCCCCATTTCATAAATGAACAAACCATGCAGCAAGCTGGCCTCAGTCAGGTGTCAAGACCTGACCAATCTGGCTGGTGAAGGTACACAAGCCACCTTTAAATTTAGATAGTTCATTACTTACATAGGCACAGAAAGAAGAGAAGCCAAAGGTGCCAGTTCCCACACTCTGGAAAGGGGCCTCACTGAAACAAAAGAGGGCATGTGGGTTTGGTAGGGATGCTTCAACCAGACATCACAGACAGGGTGACTGGAGAATCAGAGATGTATTGTCTCACAGCTCTGGAGATCACAGGGTTGGCGGCCCCTGAGGATCTGTTTCAATCCTGCTGTTCCTTTGCTTGGCCACATATCATTCTAATCTCCGATTTCATCTGCATGTTGTGTTCCATCTGAGT